GTCATTCTGTCGGCTTAACTGCAAATGTTCGCAGTGACGTACACTTGGAAGTTCAGTCGACGAGGTCGGTCGATTCGCGATTCTCGAGGGCCAAAGTGAATTTTCTAGTTACGTAGGCGGAGCTCGAACATATCTGGAACTTTATCTGATCCTTCTTACGCCGATCCCTTGGCATCCTGCCCTCTTGGCCCCGGCACCCGGTGGCGAAACGTCGAAATAAAGTCCGTGCCGTGTGAGATTACTCAATAACGCGTTCGACGCTTGTTGGAGGCCTGCGCTTCCAACATTCTACCCTCGTTGCGAGTATTGTATCTCGACTTTTCACCTACGGTTAATACATTCGAGATAAAACCACGTTTCAGCAGAGAAATATCGACTCTGTTCGTCTGTAGCGAAGAATAGGAACGAGATGTGGAGAATCGAAGTATCTTTCGAGTTTCCTTTGGCATAAATGACAATAAATATAAAAAGTAATAAAATTGTGTAATTGTCGTCCAGTTTGTTTAACTATCACTGACTCCAAATTCGTAAATTTTTTCACTGAAAAATAAAAAAGAAAACGGAGTTCAAATATTCAAACATTCGAAATTTCAAATATTCGAATACTTGAAGCTCCAAAATTTGATCGATTTAAAAACTCCAAAGATTCTTAAACGCAGAATTTCGCAGATATGGATATTCCAAAATTGTTCATATTCACACTAATTACAAACGCGATAGTATATTATACGTTTAAACTGAACACGTTGTACGTTAGATACAAACTAATGAAGAAGATTACGTGGTATTTGTACTTTAATAGTAGCTGTTTATTTTGGGGTTGCCGTGTGATCATTTATTTATAATATTGAAATGAAATTTCCCCTTCGAAATTGTTTTTGCAGTGGAAGTAAGAAAAATTGCGAGATAGTAACGCGATTAATAATGATGGCATGAAGTAATATTTAAACGTATACCGAGGGGATTGCTCTGAAAGTAACATGCTGCGGGGAATATTTCGAGCTTCGAGCTGAAGGGGTTGAAACGCAAAGGTGCACCGAATGCGCAACTGGTCGAAGCAATCTGCCTGCAGTATCTCTGCTTTCGACTAAAAAGAGTCGGTGCTTGTCACAGTTAGAAATTAAAAAGAAAAAAGAACGATAAAATAAATTATCGTGATAACTTGTGGAATTTTTTAATTAAAAAAATATCGACTAATATCTAGTGTTTCATTCGTTTACGAATTTATCTATAATTCTCTATAAAGACCTATTTATATCTATTTATAAAACATTTATCTGTACAATATATTTACTTACAAAATTCAACGATGAAATACTCTTTTCATAAGTATCCTATCCTATTTGAAGAGAATTCGTAAAAATTCGGAAGTCGGTTGTGGAATAATTCCAAACTTTATGCAACCATAAAAACTCCTTTCATAGTGAATAAATACGTCCTCGAACCGGATACCGAATAATGACGGTACAATAAGCATCGTCGTATATCGGAACTCTCGAAACAGAGAGGAACGCCTAACAATTTGAGAAGCAATTCAATCGCCGTTTCGAACGCGAGGAATTCAGCTTCCTCTTTGCCCGTCTTCCTCCCTCCCCAGAAAATCAATTCGTATCTTCTATCGCTTGTCTCTTTCGAATCACTCGCAATAAAACATCATAAATTCCCGCGATAAAAAGCGTAATACGATAGACAGTCTACACAAATACATAAAGTAAAAAATATAGGGGAAATTTCAACGATATTCATAGCATTTCAGCTTAACATAATCTATCTCTTAATACATATATTATAATATATATTTTGCGTATATTTTTCGATATTATACGATGTCTTCCTATATTTAACGTAAAATTACATTTTTTACCAAAATAGATATTCCAACAAACCACCACTAAATCAATACTTCGAGACTGTACAAAATTGAAAAACGAGTCATTTGTTTGAATAACATACGAACAATTGCTCTCTCTAAATGTTCGTCCCTTTTCTCATGAAAACTTCATATATCTGAACATTTTTATCAGCAAGTTCGTTTCTAATAACTTTCTTATTTTCATGTCACTTGATAAAAAGGTAAAAAGAAAACAGAATCGAGAACAATTTGAAAACAGAAAGGAGAGACCACGTTATCGTGGAACAAGTGGTTAGGGCAGTCGGATTCGTTGCGCGAAGCTGAAGAAAATTTATGCCCCGCGTTACAGATTATCGCAGCCTCGAAATTATCTTTCACAAAGTAGGGTTGCTTTCCCGTCACGAAACGGTCGCATCCCCTGTTTTCACCCTCCTGCAAGTGCGTGCCAACTGTTGCAAGGGTACGAGGGATTCTAAAACAATAGGAACACGCTGCTGACGTATCCACGGACGCTTTATCGTGATACAGGACAGATTTACGATCTTCGACGCAGCTGGGGGATCGAGATTTCGTTTCGCTCACCGTCCCATCGAAAGAAACGCAATCGATGCTCGATTTATGACCCATCCACCCCTTCGCTCTCGTCCTTGCTGCGTTCTTCCGCGTTTATTCGCAGATTTTACACGTTCGCGTCGAGATACACAGGCATTTGTAACGTATCTCCATTGGTCAATCCTCCGTGTGATCGATAAAATTTAAAAAATCCTACAAAAAATATCTAATTCTTGTTTTTTCTCTCAACGCACGAACCAGACGGGTAATTGAAGATAATATATATATACAACTGTTTTCATCCCTTCGAAACGCACGATATGTACAAATATTTCTCTCGGGTTATCCACAGTCGAGATTTGCTCAACCATTTTTCGTTAATCTGAAAAACAGAATTAGCTACAATCGGTTAACCTCGTCTTTCTTAACGTTTCGCGCGATGTCGAGGAAACACGAATGTTAGAAATGGAAACCTTCGAGACTTGTTTGCTGCGATTCGCATCGAAGGAAAATGAATTTGAATCTCGTCCAAAAGCGCGGAAAACTCGAATCATCGAACAAATAACTTTATGTTATTTTTCTTCGAAGAAACAATCTGCTGGTTCGACTTTCTTTCGTATATTTAATAGTAGTAAAATAATATAGAAATAAAAATAAAAATAATTTTTACAAGGCAAAAACAGTTTTATCTTTAATTCTGTTTATTATTCACTTGAAGTAGAGTACGACACACGAATATCTTGCGTAAAAAAAATATTAATGGCAGAGTGAGGCGCGTCAGGTCATCCGTAATGACTCTTCCCCCTTTCTACCCTCAGGCTTGCCCTTTCTATTTCTTTCTTCTCGTTGATAGGGCCGGGAGTTTCGGGCTGCCTCATAAAAGTCGGCGTATCCGGGATCTTCCCCTTCCTTTATCCCTGATTTTCGCTGCGGTACAGGAGGGAGGAAGCCATTAATTTATGCCTTTCCTGATCGATCGATCGTTCGTTCGACGAAAGTTTGAACTTTCGACGGGAACACACGGCCAAAGAGCACCGGGGATTACTTTATCACGGGTTGCAACGCTGAAACAACATAAATGACGTGGAACAAGGAAGACAGAGATAGCGAAAATGGAAACTGTCAGAGAGAAGACCCGCTTCGGTTTCCTGTTGCTTCAATTACTTCGCAATTTCGCTTTAATAAAACCTGTAATATTCTACGGAATGTATTTTTTATATTTTAATTTAAATGTAAATTATTTTGTTATTGGAGACTCGTATTTAAAAGGCTTCGTATACTTTTATTGAAAAAAATTACACTCCTATTTATATTGTTATTTTCTATGGAAATAGCAGACAATGATAATTATACGAATATAATTTTCATAAACGTTCGGCAGAACTCCATACTGATTGAAATTCATAACCATCGATAACAACATATTTGAAACTAAAAGATGGACAATGTTTGAGCATCTTTAAAGAATAGAAAATACAATAATACGATAGCCACAATGGCTCAAATAAATCTGTTTCTTCTTCCATACCATCTCACTTACCTCGATCAGGTGTCTCGACAAAATTGCTACAACTTCTCATCAAACGACGAATACTTTTAACCACAAGTAGCAATTGAAATACGGCAAGAGAAATGGAGGAAAATTCCTTTTTCGAGTAAATCGTCGTGAAGAGAAGAGAAGGGAAGAGAAGAGCGTGGCGACACATTCGTTCAAAGAAATGGAGAAAACTCGTTCGACAAACGCATTCCGCGTGCCAGAATTTCGTTTTCCCCTGAAAGGGAGTCGCGTTAAGGGGTGTACCATAAATATCGCAGCGAAAAGGAGGAAACGGAAAGGAACAGGAAAGACGGGAAGAGGAAATGGAAGAGCGAAGCGAGAACGCGCGACGTTCGGTCGCACAGTTTCTCCTACTCGAGGAACTCCGTGATCTCGTTCTGAAAATTGCATAACCCTCCTAATCGATCGTTCGCGGAACTCGGGACTTCGTTCCTTTGTCGGCGACGCGTAATTGAATTTGGAACAAAAGCAAACGAGAGACTCGAAACGAGCCGAAGATGAAAAGAAAGAGGATAACGAATAGAAAAGATACGAGTTATCGAATGAGAAGTCTTTGAGAATGGGAAAACTCGAGAAATATGAAAATGCTCGTGGGAAACAGATGCCGAGTATTTTCTTTGTTTTCTTTTTTTCTTACGTTTAATCTTTATGTTTGAACCTTTCCCCTTTTTAATGGATCTTAACTAACGAGCATCAACTAACGAGAATATTAATACGTTGTCGTACATCGAAATTATATTTTCCAAATTGTCAATGTTTTCAGACATTTTCAAGAAAAATTTTGTTCCATGCCAGCCATTTGTTAAAAATTCATTTTATCTACTTAACTTTTGTATACTCTGATGAAGCACGCATAAACGTCAGATGATGTCTTGACGTTTAATGCCAACTTTTAGAACCGGTCTATTTCGAGTAAATTTGACTTGAACAAATATAAACTTGAAGCGAAGTCACACTGGTCAGAGAGATTAGTTTTTTTTTCTTTAATTTAGACGATTGTAACGGAACTGGATATATTTGGTGAAATCATTTTGTTTTCGCTCAATCCGGTTTTGTTTTTTATCATTTCTTTTTCTTTCTTTTTGGAACGGTATGCGTACGGGAGAGAAAACTCGAGGATGAAGCGAAGAGGAATTTAAGGAAGAAAATAAGCACGGTTCGACGCATGACGGAGGTGCTTTGATCTCAGTGCTGGCCGAAGCAAGCAAATTGTGTGTCCTCAAAGGGACCGTGATTGAAGTCACACGAACCGTGCAACGGTGCTTCGTCCGTTCCCTCCGTTTTATTTTTTTATTTAAGGAGTTACTTTCGGCAGCTTCCTGTGTAAATAATTACCCACCAACTACCGTCCGTATCTCAAATACTCCTTCGATGTTAAACACGTGTAATACTCTCCATTAAATTCCACTCAAATTCATAGAAATCTATTAGAATGTTATATTGGGTTGGTAACTAAGTGATTACGGATTTTGTCATTACCACCTAATCACAAAATCCGCAATCACTTAGTTGGCAACCCAATATATTGGCCAAAAGTTCCTTACGTTATCTACGAGATCATACTGCATACAATGTATTAACGAAACATTCTATATGTAAATTGTGTAGTTTTCAAAACAAAAAAGGTTTGATACAACGCTTTTTTACGTGTCGAAATCTATGTTACATGCAGAGATACTGCATCCCATTTTCTCAACGAACAAAGGTCCAAAGACAGAGAAAGAGAAGAACGATTATTTTCCAACATTTATACAGACTGGGTTCCTCTTTTTCAGCTCGTGCTCTTTACACCGATTTTAGATGCACGCGTGCGACAAAGCGAAACGGAAACAACTAAGAAACGAAGCCCGTTTTTCAACGAGGAATACTAGCAGAGGTGATGGTAAGCATTGTCAGGGAGTTTCGCTTTCCGCGCGAACAATTTCAAGCAAGAAACACGAAAGAACGAAAAATCGGGCCATGAACGTGCACGTATACATATGAGGAAAGAGATGAAAGAAAGAGGAGAGTCAATTACGCGAGAGCACGCGCGTTTCGTTTCCAGAGCCGGCCCCCTTTGATCCTGTTTCGTTGCGAGAAAGAAACGTCCAGATCTGCGATTGAAACCAACACGGCCTTTGCTCGACGCGCCGTAAACTCGCCATCGATTTTTCCATTTTTCCAACTTCCACGAAACATTCGCTGCAGCTTCGAGGGACCGATACAACGTTCGCGATCGATCGAAGACGTAGTACTACGTCTTTTCGTAAGCCGAAGCTCCGCGAGACTTCGTACAAGCGTTATGTTTTTTATTAAAAGCTAAACTTGGCAATCTGTGATGTAACGAGATGCCTTCTCGGGGTCTATTATTGGAAACCTTTGACGTGGAAACCGCGTTTCGTCACAAATCATCCTTAGAAAATTTTCAGCCTACTCGTTTAATCTTACGTAACTCGAAGGTGTACGCATTTTGCGTTTGACACGTAACGTACTTCTTGGATGGTCTTAGATAATGTTGTTTCATTCTGCTTCGTTTCTTTCTCTTTGCTTCACGGGTAGTAGTGTATAATAATCATAATCTGAAAATATTCAGTTTCATATATTTTCCATTATTTGTTTCTCAGAGAATAAGTTTGAGAATAGATTTAAGATCTTTTTTATCCCGAAGAACATCTTTATGACAATTGAATATCATCTTTTAAATCTCCCATTCTGAAATTATCTGATAAGCACAAATAGTGACCTGTCGGCTCTGCAAATTTAACATGGTAAGGTATCTGTAGGTGTTCGAATACCTTCGTGGACCTCTGCGCTAATAATATATGAAAAAGGAGAACAAAAATCGATGTCTGGGATGGTACTTAGGAACCATGGATGGAAAAGGTACAATGTGCGAATGGGATGGAACAAAGCGACGCGTTATAAGGTCGTGGAAGGGATTCACGTGGCTGGGGATTAAATCGACAACCGGTGTGTGTGTTCACGATACTATAGATTTATTAATCTTGGACGCGTTATTCTTGCATTGACCTTCTACTGGAGCATGCTGCGCGATCCGTTTAAATCGTTCCATGCGATAAATCTATGTGGCAAATCCGTTTAAGCGCGTACACATTAGTCGTGCTCAAACGACATATTTATGTTTCTCGGTTTGCTTGAATTATTCGCAACGCATACGTACACACAGAGAAGTTGGAAAGGTATAGAAAGGAGAGGGTAACGTGTCGTTCCCGTATCCGTAATTCGCGCCAGGACATTTGCATGCTGGCTCCTTTGTAAAACCACACGCTCGAACGCTCTATGTTTTCGTTGCAAATTGCTTAACAACAATTCGGCCGGATTCCGTTTAAACGGTATTTACTAGAGCCCGGCTTGGTGTAATGTTACCACTTGCGTCTGTTTGGCCAATGGTATTCCTCGTATGTAGCCACACGCTTACCACCAGGGTTAATTACTCGAAATGTAGCTCTGTTTAAGGATAACACGTTCATAGAAGTGTCACTTTGATCGCTTGAAGGATTAAGAGTCGAAATAAGAGAATAATTCACGGGCTCGATAAAAATAAATATATTCGATCTATCACGCATCGTAAAAAAATAGAAAGTTATAATTACTCGAAACGTTGCTCTGTTCAAAGACAGCATACGTTCGTTCATAAAAGCGCCGTTTTCAACGTGGTCGCTTGAAAGGTTAAGGATCCAGCACTGCAAGAATTGACGGAGAGGAGAAGAGCGAAAGAAAACGAATTGTCTGCCATAAAACAAACGATACACCGATAGTTCCACGTTTACGAAAAGAGGATATTATCCATAACGTAAATCCATCGTTCCACCGTGTATTTCAGTTTCCAGAATACGAATATTTTTCTTCGAAATTCATTAAAGATTCTACTACGCTAATTTCATGATAACGAGCACGGATATTCGTACTATTCGAAAAAGAAAAGCGAAGCAGAAAGAGAAAGGGCTGAGGGGGGTAAGGACGTAGAGTACAACGGGGCGATGGAGCAAATGTTTTTTAAATCCGGCGAAAGAAGTGGCTCGAAGAATTTAATTAAAGCGGCCGCTCGTCGACGAAGCCACCGCCGGGTTTGAAATTTTTTGAGATCTCTCGGCGTCGTATTCAACCACTAGTTGCCATCTGTTCCGTGTACTCCTCTCCCTCTTTCAACCGTTGGTTCTCTCGCGACTGCAGCCTGCGGAACGCGACCACCCCGAGCGAAATCAACTACCTGTGGATGCAACTTAAGTGACTCCGCGCTGCGCCAGCCACCACCACCAATTATGCGCGATAAAGTTTCAATAACGCGAATTTCATTCCCGCCACGGTCTCCCATTATGCAATTAATCGAATTCTTCGGACTTTCTTTCCTATCCGCCTCCTCCCGTTTTATCGGTTATCTTAATCGTCCGTGCTCGATAATTGAGATACGATGTTCCGCTACCATATTTCTTTTTTCTCCTTTCTCTTTTACCTGTAGATACGGTGGAATTAACGATCCTTAACGGGTTAAAACTTGAATTTCATAGAGATAGGAATTGATATATGTGCTTTCGATACTTGATTACATACGTTCGTTACGTACGTACGTATTTAGTGTTTCATTTATTTATATCTACATTTGCTACAGTGATTTATTCATCTTCGTTGTCGAAGCAGGTAATAACACGCGTAATACTTCAAAGTAATAGATTTACAGTATCGTTCAGAAATAGGAATTTAACAGGCACCGTTCGATTTTTTAAATGGAAATAAAGATTTGTTTCCATAGTGATGGGTGATGTTAAAGTAAAAGAATTTTTGGAGACATTCTTCTAATTATGTGCAAAAATAGCTGTATATCTACGGTAGCTTCGAAAAATATCTGTACAGATAACTACACGAAGATATTACCAAATGATATGAAACGTAATATGCTTGGACATAATTGATTACGATATAAATGTTATAATAAAAATGCAATGATGTGCAAATAATTCTTATAGCCACTATAAAGATCTTCTCTTTTCTACCGCCGTCTAAAAATTTTTCCTTTCCTAGACCTATATGTATATAAAAAAATCTTGACTTTCTCATCTTCGAGTTAAAACACGCTTTATCCCTTAAACTCGAAGTTCGATCTCTCCTCAAGCAAATCCACTGGCAATTGGATAGTCCTCGTTCGTTAAGATAGCTCGAGTAGATTAGTAGACACGAGCGACTAGCGTGTCGCTAGCGATTGGTATCGGACCGTGCGGACACGCGTCGGGCCTAATTTCATCCCAGCAGCGTGCAATCTCTTCGTGGCGTCCCACCGGGCGGTGCCCGGAATCAGGACCTAAATCGGATCGGACCGTGGCTCGTAAATTATTCGACACACGCGTATACGTCTACGTCGATTTTACCCTACGCGACACGAAGGGACAAAGCTAAAGAAAAGGGGAATAAAGGCTTCCTTCGTTCGCCATTGTGTCCTTCGAATGAACAACGACAGCATTTTGGAAAGAGGTGTGGAATACATCGTTTTCTTAACGTGCTTCGTGTTCCGAGAAAAGTAAGTAAGTATTTTCTAGATCGCGTGACCAATAAAATTTAAAAGAACATCGTACAAAAAAAACTTGGATATTTTCTTTCGTTCTTCGTTAGATGAGTTAGGTTGTTCATTTGAAAGTGAGTGGCAGGAAAAAATAAAAAATGAAATAGAAAGGAGGAAAATTCAAGTTGGAATTTACGATTATAACAAAGTATACAATGAGCATTTATTCCAACCAAAAGACGAGAGAAGTCTTATTCAAGCTATTCTACCTGCAAAATTCAATACCATGCGCAACTCTTCAACAAATGGTACACGCAAAGCTTCCCTATTCTCGCAACAACAATTCCCGGTATCCAAGCCCAACTTAGTCTACCTATTTCAAGTAACAAAATTATTAATCATACTATTAAACAATGTACACGCATGTATTCTCCGTTTGCAGTGAACATTCGTCGATCTTCTACCTGTCTTCCCCCACTTATCGAGGCATTCGATCGGGAACGAAGCGCGAAAGGAAATTGGAAACGTTCCGGGGTCATTTTTCTTCCGGATATCGCAAACCGTGATCCGAGCTTCAGGGTAAATAAATAACCTAATAACCTGAAGTGCCTCGAAAAAGTATTCGAACGCTTATACACAGATTTTATAAATATAATGTGTGTGTTGTATTAAATATTTGGACATATCATTGGCAGTATCATGATATTCGATTATCATGATTATATTGGTAAAGTCTGAACCTAAACCTGAAAGTATATAATATAGAAATCACAAGACATTTAATACAAAATATCTACATGTATATTTTGCAGAGACCGCAAAATTGCTTAATCAATCCATTATATTAATTATCTTATTATTAATTATCTATACATTATATCAATAAACTTTAATATTCACGGCATCTTTAACACTTATCAATTATATAGGGTGGTTGGTAACTGGTGGTACAAGCAGAAAGGGGGTGATTCTACGCGAAGAAAGAAGTCGAAAATATAGAATAAAAATTTTTCGTTTGAGGCTTTGTTTTCGAGAAAATCGACTTTGAATTTTCGCTCGGTACGCGTGCACTTTATCGCGTCTCGTTATAACGGATCTCACTGTAGATCGTTGTCTCAATGGAAAAATTAAAAAAAAATTTTTATTCTATATTTTCGACTTCTTTTTTCGCGTAGAATCACCCCCTTTCCGCTTGTACCACCAGTTACCAACCACTCTGTGTATAGTTAAGATACATGCATATATTTGCAGTAAATATCTTATAACTATTGTATTGTACATTTTCGATATCGTTTCATATTCTACCGACATAATCGTGACAATCGTGTCTCGTTATAGCGCCATTGAAATTTCACAATGTCTTATAGAATATACGCGATATATTCATAAAAATTTTCAATGGTAAATATTCGGATACTTCTGCGAGTAACTGTACGTGACCAACCACGAGCACCAGAATCCTCCGCGAAAATAATTGAACTTAGTCTATCCCTGTCTGACCCTGATAGTCGAGCAACGATAAAGGCTAGACCAACCACGGCCACGTAATTAATAACGATTTCTCATAATCATTAACCGCGGTGCGGCGCGAATACGACAACAGTAATAATAAGTATCATAACGTGGCACGTTGTCGGTGCTGGGGAGTAGCATCGTATTACGCTTATGCTCCCTCTCATTTACTTCATTGTTATCGCGGTGTCACGCGAATCCTGCCAACTATAAACGGAAAATTTGGCCTCTAATAGCCGGACCTTTATGGAGCCAGCCATGCAATATTAATATATTCTTATAACGCTCTTGATATCATGTTGGTATTGCGCTAACCGCGTGCCTCGCGTTATTCCGCATTCCCAGGAGCCAGCCACTCTCGATGAAATCAGCACATGTTTTATTACCTTTATCTTTGGCGCTGTTTCTTATTTGCATACCGCCATCAAACATACTTAAAGCGTGTTTTGAATTTTCGGATTTTTCTTGGATGCAAGTTTGGTGATTAATAAGAGTGGAAAATTCTGGAAACTGTACGCGTGTATCTGTGGATAGTTGCGTGAGTTAATTAGCATCTGTTGATAATCGAAGTTAATTTGTATCTGTTGGTAGTTGATTAGTAATTGATATCTGTTGATAATGGATAAAGGGGTTAAGGATTAACATTGCATCGAATTATAAACTTTAGGCACGATGTTTTTATTGAATTTACATCGAAAATTTGTAACGACGCAAAAATATCGCAAGAAACACGAAGCAACGCGATATAACATTTTGAACGGTCGACACGTTCGTCTGCGTTTCTGGAAAAATCGATGAATACGCGGAACGTTTATTACGGCAGAATTTCCCCGTTGCAGGACAGATACGCACGGCACTCGGGAAAAACAATTTCATTTCGTTGCGCGAGCAAGCGAGAAACGGTTCTCATTAAATCTCCTTAATTTCCTCTTCCGTCCATGGAACAGCAGTGGAATTAAATTTTCGATAAAGCACGAGCACAATTGCCACTCGTTTTAACCGAACCAACTGTTCTCTACAGGTCAGAGGAACGTTCATCCTTCACCTTTTACCTTGCGATCTTTTTCAGTAGCTGCTTAAGTCAATGTCAGGTATTTACTGACGCGAGATATGAACAAATTATATACAATTTACTATTATTAATCTTAATGATGATGAATGTGCCTTACTGCTTTTATCTCTTTCGTTATAATATCGAGCCATACCCGTGATACGAATTAAATTCGGCAAAGACAGGTTTTAATTCTAACAAAATTTAATTTCAACGCTAACATAAGCTTCGCTGACACAAATTCGTAATGAGCAAAATTTTTCGAATCAAAAACGCAGATCTTGTGTGTAACTAAAATAAAGAGGGTTAGTGAAACACATTCTACATATTCGAAGATTTTACCGTTCAGAGTCCAGTTTCCTCGATGTGTCCAAAGCGAGGCCTGAAGTATATTCTAGAGAATATATTCACATAAGGGTGGATGATCTTCGGGACGAGCCTATTTATCATCCCTCTGACTCAGACGTCGTGCCACTTCCTACTTGGACGAGTAAATTGAAACGGAAGATTTCCTTCGAGATTAAATACCGGCGATTCCCGTGCAACGGAAATAGTTTGCTAGCAAGGGCCAGAACAGGAAAGTTTGGGGGTTGAAAAACGAAAGATACGGGGTTGTACGACGAGCGATGCACGAAATTCCTGGACGAGAGGCAGTAAATTCCTGCGTCGCACCGATATTTTCACCGTGTACAACGTTCGTCGAATATGTCCACCCTCTGTGTGCTCCAACCCCTCTGTTTCTACCCCCAAACCTTCGAATAGCGGAGGAAGGACGAAATTGAGAGAGGGTACGAGATGGCCCGTGCTGAAAGGCTCGTTTCTCTGCTTCAGGCAACAGCAACCCACGTTCCACGATTTCTTGTTTCCCTACCCCTCCAACTGACTAGATCCCTTCGCTGACTAGAAAACAAATCTAGACAAGTTTTATTTAAGATAGAGATAAAAAAAAAGTAACAGGTCGAAATAAGGGATTGTTTTAATTAATCTATGGTATTTTTCTTATTTTAAGAACTTTATTTTTTGCAATTTATGAAAAGTAATTTATTTACGTTGTATTTCAGAAAACATCTATTTAATTAACAACTAAAGTAAAAGATTCTTCCAGTTTTTTAGAAAAAGGCTAACTTTCCTAGTAAAATAGATTTTAACATAACTATTTCAAGATAAGTAATAACACACCAAAGAAGATAATACGTATATTCTTGAATCATTTCACAATATAGCCCTAAACAGACATTACCAAATCCTCAAACTTAACACTACAAATTTCACGTTTTAAATGCCATTATACGTAACACAGCTACTAATATTTATTTTTAACGTTTATTCCCTACAAAAAAAAAAAAAAACAGAAATTCGTACCTTTCGTATTCTGTCACGAGAAATGCAAGAAATGATTCTTCTAAATTCTGTATTTTGCTAGATCGTTAAACTATTAAATTTACTATCCGTCCAAATAATTTAAACAACGCTCTGGCCTAATAAAAACTGATTCAATGGTAATGGTGTCCTCTGGAAATCTTGCAGGGAGCACTCGTCGTCGTGGAAGGAACACAGCACGATTCGAACAGAATCGTAGCTGGCAAGTGGTCGAGTGGGGCTAAGTAAGCTTAGCGTGTCACCCTGAAGAGAGGATTTTCTCTACCCTCCTCTTTCTCTTGATGGTTCGTTCGTTTTCTTCCTGTCCTCTTTATTGGTCTTCCTCCTTTTTGCCGCTTTTTTCCTTCTGCGTTTGGTTTTAATCGAATGCACCCCGCAGAAAGGAGATTTTATTAAAACGAGTTGAAGCGGGCTTGGAAGGGGTTTGGCTCTTCTCTTTTATTCCTTTTTTCGAGGACGCCTCGAGAGGGGGAGACTTCGCGAGATTGTGTTTTTCTAAAGGGTGCTGAAACGGAAGGAGTTGAGCTGTTCGAACGGGATACTTTCCTCAAACGAGTGTTTTGTCTGGAAATTTAACGGTGATAATCGTTGGAAATAATATTGGTTCGTCATCGTAGCACTGGAAGATCCTTTCTGACGAATCAGAAAGCTCAGGAAGCTGAGGATAGTTGAAGCGTTTCGGAAAAATTCTTAAAACTTAAGATAAATACATTCCTTGAAAAAATGTTCAAGACTTCGTGTAAATACAAGTACAAAAGACAGAAACTGCTTTAATATATACGAACAACGATATATACAAAACATTGATTAGAAGATAGAAACGATATTATACTTTAACCTATCGCACAAGAAGCAATAATTACAAAAATATAAAAAATAACCAAAAATCGAAATACACAAAATTCGTACGTATGTTTCCGTATTTATAACTCTTATCCGTAATTTAATTTTCGTAAAGACAAAAACACGTAGATATACCATTTATAAATACAAAAATCAAGAATACCTTACTTTACCAAATATATCAAAAACTTTGTGTACTTATTAAATAAAAGATAGCATAACACAGTGCAAATAACAATAACGATACCAACAATATAATTCCCAAGGAAATAAATACTTTTTCAACCACGTTCAGCTATTCCCGTAAAAACTGAAAAGGTTAAATATATCTTTTCCAGCAGCAGACAGAAATACCAGCGAAGAGACGAGGAGAGAAAATAGGAACGTATCCAATTCTTGGGATATCCTCGGCTCGTCGTCGCCCTTTCCACTCGCAGTTTCCTCCATGAAACGAAAATCCAGCGGAGTTAAATCGGGGGCAGCACTGGGCGCTGTACGGCCAAGGATATATCCAGAGATCTAATCGAGGAAGAAGGGTGCTCGTGCTGCACCCTGCTGCAGTTCCAGGGTGAATCATGCCGCGATACAATCGAGCTCGTAGCGTAAAACGCGCCTTTGCGGTTCTGCGGTTCGTCGATGGCCGCTGGTGTGCGAGCGACCTCGTCTATGCGAATCCATTTGTATCCTCTTCATATCAAGATGCAATCTGATGATTGGTCAAACGACCCTGCAATTTACTCGAGTGTTCTCCGCGACTATTCTTTATCTCTTCTTTATCGCCGTGCCACCGTGATTACACCGAGCAAACGATAAGTAGCCGCCTCGAATTTCCGCGAGGATGATCCGCTTGATGATCTTGCCGAGTTTCTCGACGCCACTGGAGGAATACCGTGGCCAGGAATCGAGCTGTCGCTAGGGAACTTTCGTTTCGCCTGTCGAAACTTTAGTTTGACAAGAGTGTTATTGGAACGAAGAGGCTTTTTATTGTTTTTACGGAATTTGTTTATCTTCTAATTTAAACGCTTTGAATTTTCTGGAGAGGGAGATAGATGGAAGATTTTGGCGAATTCATCGACGCGAATGGAACGTTGTATCCTCGTACGATCGTAACAAAAAGTTCTCTTTAATTTCCTATGGAAACTCGGCGAAGGACAAATTTTCCGATAAATAATTTGTATATTAGAGTACTATTATTAGAATAATGCGAGAAAATAACTCTTTGTAACAAACTTAATACCTATCGTTTTATTTTTAGAGAATTGTAACGTTAAATAGCCAGTGGATCAACACACCTGTACCAGGTATTATACGACATCGACGTTTAAAAATGAAACAGATTAGAGGATAAAGCGATCGAATTTTATTTGAACTTGAGACAAAACTTTGTCTTTATCGAATCCCTTTGAACCTCTCGGTAATCAGTCTCGCGTCCTACATAAGAGCTGACACACAGATTCTACCGAAGAAACAAAGAAAAATTGCGGTAGATTCGCCTCTGAACGTCTTTCATGGTTACTTTATATCGGCTATGCTAATCTTAGAGGACGGTTGTCGTCTGCCACGTTCCAGGACCCTTGCTGCCGCTTTCACGCTGCCTCAACCCCCTCACGATAACGTAAATACTTCGTGGCGTACAACGAAAGGGTTGTCCGTACAGGTTAACCCGTAACCGTGACGTCGTATTTATAAAGAAAGGGTAGAGACTTTCTACGAGGAGAAATATGTACAGTGACTCGCGAAAGTATTCGAATATTCTTAGAATATTTTTAGATATATATAATATTTAAAATCTCATTAGCACCGTAACTGAGACACAGAAACTATCGTAATTATGATAGTAAAATTTGAAATCAATCTGAAAGTATATGTAGGAGTTGCAAGACATTTGTCGTAAACCGATATTTAGTAAAAAAAATTAGAGTATCTCATGAATAGCAGTAAAGTTAAACATACGATTAGTGCTATAGATGGTCTCGCTATCGTATCGTAGTTTCCAAAAAGTTTCATAGAAAACACATAATATATTCGTAAAAAAAATTCCGTGGTAAGTTTTTGAATTTTCGCGAACTTTCGTCAACCGCGATAAGTTCGTGTAACGAGACGAAAGAACGGAGACAGTGAAGAGATATCGAGCTAACGAAATTTATACGTGACACTTGTGAGATTCGTGGTACCGAACTCTGTCGTTTCGACAGCTTGTTCGAGTCGAAAAGAGGGTTGTTTGTTGGCTCGCCGAGATAACGGTATCGTCCGTAAAATGTTCCTAGTTTTACGTTCGCTCCTATTGACGCATGAATTTCAGACAATATAGTACTCGTATTTTAAATAAATATCAATCTTCGTTAGTTAGATGGATAGTTTCTCGATAAAATTTACACGCGTTTTATTATCATATATTTTTGGAAAGCAGAATGGATGAATGTTGAGCTTCTGTGTTGGAAGTGGTCCTCTTAGAGTTGGGAATGTTTGACGTGCTTTCTGATTCCACAAGTTTTCAGTACGATCGATCGATAGCTTTAGCACATTTTTAACGATAGAACTTTTTCAAGCTAAGAACTTCTGTTTCGAAAAGAGAAATGCTTTATTTGTAAATTTATTTAGCTAGTAACGTTTTCCCCTTTTCCGTATTTTATCGGTAGTAAATGCGATCGAGATAATATTGTGCGTATTAGACTCCACTCGTATAATACGAAGCGATAAGAAGAAAGCAGTTAATAGAATATTTATACGATATACATTGATAAAAGAGCAATTGATAAAGTGCATGGAGAAACTCGCCCCTATATTTTTCATATCCTAATGTAAGATAAAAAAACATACGATATTGGAGAAGTTTAGAAAATTGCAGCGGTACTCGTGAATAAAGAAAAACGTAGCAGCTACGTGATCAGAAAAGAATGCCATAAAACGTTCGATATATCACTATATCGTATCCTGTGATTACTTGAAGGAGAATACGGTATTATTTCGTGGTTTCAACAGGATTTCCATTTTATACGGTAAAAAGAATACGACGGCTCGCGTTATTCTTCATTTTGTCGCGCGATTTGTCTACGTAGAGGTATAAGAACGTACGGCATCGTAAAACGAGCCGGAGAACAGCGAGGGTGATAGAACAGCGTTCCCAGTGTCTCTGTGACGATACACACACTCACAGTTGCCGGGTAAATTATCCCCTATACACGACGCCACTCGAGCGCCATGGTAACGTAAGCTCTCCAAGAACTGAAACGGAATTTCTCTCTCCATATACGTATGTATATACATATATACATATATACATATATATTTCTGTATATATACAGAAACAAATTATAATTGACGCAAATCTAGTTGTGGCAATGGTGAAACGTGCCTAAACAAGAACTTCTAGAAAGTAATCACGATCGATAATTGAACGAGAAAGCTTACGTTATAATAGAAGAGTAGGAATATTTTAATAACATATTGTTAATAACGTACGAAGTATTATCATCTGATGACAAAATCCGCAATCACTTAGTTGCCAACTCAATATAAGCGTATAGGTCATTATATAGGGTAAGTGATAATTGGAAATATTAGTAATATAAAAATGATAACAGACAAAGTTGACGCGTTTTGTGGAGGGGATATTGATCAACTCCATAAATTGAAAGGTACGGAAGAGCGGCGATGTTACAAATATTGATTTTTAAACCTACATTAGAATTCACCGTTGTTGAAATAATTTTAGATAATTTAATTAATCGTTTAATTTGAAATGAAGTTGTAGAAGTAAATCTCTTGTCCCTCGATGAATGAACGATAATCGTGTACTTATGCGATGAAATTAAAAAATTAATAAGAAGTGGGGTTGCTCCGCTTGACTTTTGAGAGGCTCACGTTTCTCTACACCCTCGGTATTTATGAAAATATGCATTGGTCGGAGATTATCGTCTCTTTTTCTGTATATTTATATCTTGAAAAGCAAAACATTTTTGTCAAAAAAAATGTTACATGAGAATAATGGTAAAAATTCTGCGCACGAAGCTCTTGATTGCTGGTATCAAATTGAATGAACAAAAATATTAGATAACAAAGAGCAAAGCAAGCTGACCTAACGAACTAATCAGGGGCTGGCTTACGTCCTTCGTTAGCGGCGACACATGTATCCGCATAGGCTTTTCTACAATGTATTTAATGTATGCGAAGTCATTCCTGATTCAGCGAAGTTCCACGGCATGGGATGAATCATCCCCTCGTGCACCGGAGCTCGAGCACCGCGATAACGTAGGCACTTTACAGCCTCGAACGAGAACGACGAGCCTTTCTGTCTTTCTCTCTTCGTGGTCTCTCCTCTTTGTCACTCTTGCGAATTCCCGTCTCTGTTCCCCTTTCTCTATTAATTCGACGTGTTGCTGCGGTAACTACGGTGTCAGCAACATTACCCGTTCCTGTATCGATGAGATAGAAATGTCAGCCGAACGGCTAACGAGGATGCCACGTGCGGGGATGCGACAGTCTCACTCGGAAAACATTCGAATAGATATCGTGCAATTTTGGTGTATCGAAACGAGGAGAGTCTTGAAATGTTGATACACTGGTTTAATGAGTTATCGCAGAATTGGATATTTTATTTTTATATATGTTAATGGTTATTGGAAGTTACATGGAATTATTGAAAAACCAGCTTTTATCTGTTACTTCGTTCGCGTTAATACTACTAATATACGGAAATTTTTCAGCAGATGAATTTTTTGCGAACAAAATGGAATAGGTAAAAAATATTAAATTGTAGAATTGCTCGATTTCAGAACAAACACGACGTAAATAATAATCATCGTTGCTTAACTTCTAGCAAACATGAAAGCGCATGCAACTCAAATGCCAAGCTATTTCTCAGCTTTTAGAATACGAATCGAGATGAGAGATGCCCTATTTTCTTTTCCAGATACTAGGCTATACGACAGGGAAAACGCAACCAAATCCGCTAGGTAGTTTTTACATAATGTGAGTACAAACAGACAGATAAAAATTCCAAACATTAGTTTTACGAACTCCATAGCTTATGAGCTATTCCTGCATGAGTGTTTTATTTATTTTATTCAATGTACAGACACAACCCTCTACTGTTTTATTATATGTATATAGATGCGTGGGATACTCAAATTGTGAATTGCGACTTGTCAGGGAAAGAGGGTCAAATGTGAAAGGGAGAGCAGAAAAGAGAGGAACGGACATGAAGGAAGGAACTAAGGATGGGAAATAAGGAAAGGAATCTACACAAAGGAGAGGCGCAGTGGAACGGAAAAAAGGAAAAGAAAAGGAGAAATGGGAGAAAACAAAGAGGGAAAAAAATAGGAAGAAGAGAAGGAAGAGGAGACAGGAAAGGAATGAATGGAAGAAAACATATTTATTTTACAACTAGTTACATGTATCGATATAATTTAACTCGAAACGACATTTGTTATGCAGTAACGTAATAATTGGAATGCAATACTCGATCCTGAACAGGCGTCGAGATGCAAGCCACGATCCTGTAAAATTACCAAGCCAATTCCATGACACGAATCGCACGACGCCGTGCATTAACGCAGGCCGGCATCGCGACGCATTAAGCGAAATAATTTATAGCGCGAAATTGTAGTCTCCGGAGCTAGGGTGCCGGATGACGTACGTAAGACAAATGGCACAGAAACCAACGGTGGCCGTAATCTCCGTACGTTCGCTGGATATCCGAATGGCAGTCACCGAATACGCAGATCCCACGATATCGTTCCATTATCCTCGGGGCCGGCGCGATGCACCACCTCATCGGCCATTCACAACACGATTCTCTTGATTCGACGGTTCAATTATCGATTCTGATCCGCCTCGTCGTGAAGCTGCGCGTCCATAACCGATCCAACGTCCCTTGTTTCTCCTGGAATCGATATACCAACCGCATTTGTCCAAAGTGGAATCGATTCACAAGTGGGAAGAACAAAAATAATATCGGCTTAGTGGTGAAAGTATTGTACATCGGCTTAGTATTGTACATCGAGCGACCTGCGCACTTTAAATTGGTTTTATTTGCAAATTTTTATTGCTTTCATCCTTTTTTATAACTTTTGCGTTTGTTCTCTGATTTCTTTTATTTGAGAATTTGTTGTGTTGTCTGTATACAGGGTGAGTCGGGAAATTAGTGTTAGTACTTGTTAAAATAGCAAAAAGATCTTGATAAAATGGGTCTGAACATAATTCATACACTCCTGACGTTGTTATATTCATTTTTAGATAATAAAACGAAATTATTAAATAAATAAATCAAATGTTCGTAGATAATACCAATACGTCAAATTTAAACTTGAAAAAAGATAGGATTTTACATGCAATCAATACAAGAGAAGAATTTCAGCAAATTACGTTGCGCTGTAAAACCCGTCCCATTCTACTGCTCCGTGCGTCTGGCCATGATTGTACATATTCCACTTAACCTGGCGCTCCGATCTCCCATTCGATATATACATTCCCAGATTAATTTCAAACTGTACAATAATTACGACAGTCACGTCTCATTACTGTCTTCGTTAAAGTGCACGATATTTCTAAAAAGTTTGGTATAACGCACATAATATATTCATAAACATTTTTTATGACAAGTATCTGGATATTTTGCCTCGGAAGTACTTCACCTCGGAATCTTCCATTCCTGCATGAACCTAAGCTCGCTATCTCGTTAATTCACGCACCAGCAAACAAAATAATTGCACTCGTTCAATCAAGCCAAAAATACGACGAAGAACCACGCGCGAAAAATTTCTACCGTTCCAACAGTTTTCACGTTTCTCCGCTATTTAACAGCACGCAAATAGACCAGAGCTCCCATAGAAACAGGCATTGCCTTATTCATACACCTGTCCAGGCATCTCCGCCGAGCCATTGCATTTTTACCATGCAGATTAAATCACGTAGAAAAGGACCGGTATCCACGTAAAGGTGCGCGTAAACGTGCGCCGATTTCCAAGGAGTCCATTCTCTATGGTGGTAGTAGGAGAATGCATGGTGGCACGCGGGCGTCTAAAACGAGCGGAAAATTATTGGCCGTTTCTCTACTTACATAAGCAATTTCACTGGATCACCGTGGTTCGTGAACGTGTCGCGGGTACCAGCCAAGGATTCTTCTTTTCGTCGTCGAAGAAAACGAAGAAAAGGAGGAATAAAAGGATTCCACGATTGTCGGATAACTCTGGTTCAACAAACGATCCAGAATTCACGATCGCGACTCCGCCACGAACGTATTTCATTCTCCAAGTAATCCCCGAGTAATCCTTTGATTTATGAAGACCTACTCGCGCCGCTTCTGCTCGTGATCAGTTCGTAAGCCAGTGAATCAGTCGGGCCGCTTTAATCGATCAGCAGTTTCAGCAACGACGGCTCTATGTTTCCCATCCGTTGCTGGTAACCGTTCAACCGATCTCGCGATATAAGATTAATTCTATGATATACATTCGTGAAGTCGTAGTGGCTTCGAGATTGGGTGTTTAGCTACTTTTGAGTAGTCTTCCAATCGTCTTAAGGATTATTGCAAACTTGATGAATTGATCTTGCTGGATTTTTCACAAAGATGTTATTAAGAATTCGGAGATCACATTATCAAACAGAATTCTAAAAGATCTCGTTCGTCTAGATTCAAATTCGTTCAATCGTAGATTCTATTGCAAGAAATTGATGTTTGTGACAAATAATGTTATCTATCCTTAGATGTTAGAAATACATTAAAAGTCTTATATTTGCGTAAATTCAGTAAACTAAATATTTTCATAACCATCACCATAAATCAGATATGGAGAGTACATTAAACTTCAATATAGTACTTAAGACCTTAAGAAAATACTCGATATCAATATCGAACTCTTATATAGGTCCTTAGGTTCACAGTAAACCTTTCATCGAAACCCACGTATACTCATACTCTTGAAAAGAGTATTCCAAGTATGTCAAACCTCCTACGGTCTTCTACCCAAAAATCTTCAAGTAGTACGAACCGATGATAAATTCCACACGACATCGAACGAAACGAACATAAGCCTCTCACAAACTACCAATTAACTTCGTAGCCTTAAAACTATATTTCTGGGGAAAATTTGTTAAAAATGACTTCTAACAAATAAAATACATACTTCTTAAAATTCACCTTGAAATTTATGATTCTCTATCTCACATATAAAAATACTTAATTATTTATTACCCTATAATTTCATCACTGACTGATATACCCGAATAAAAAAAAGTGCAATTGATCAGTTTAACTTCTCAGAGTCATCGTGTCTTCGATTAACGCAAAATAGGTCACTCGTTATCTTATCGTTAAATTCGATGCTAGATAAGATCGCATTTAGATATAAATCAAGCAACATTGGATAAAGGCAAAAGATGTAATTAATCAGTTTGATTTCCGAAAGATTTTTATCGTCGATTAATTTTGCAAAATTCTAGCTCATGGATGGCCGGTCGAATTGAGGTTCCGGCCCCGGAGGAGGCGCGTATTCGCGTAGCTGGCGCAATGGTCCCGGGATGCCGGTTGAGCCGACGCCGCGCCGTGCTCCGAAGGTTGCCGAGCAACCGGTGAATATGCGCAATTACCAGAGGACCGGGCGAGAACGAGCGAACGGACGCTAAGTGGGAGTTACCGAGGAGATTGTAAAATAGAATGTATCCCGCAATTACCCGGCCATCTAACGCGATCGAACGTAAGAGCCTGCCCGCGATTATCGTTCATGGGATCGGAAGTAGCTCCGACACGGGCCAACCGGCCTGTCTTCTGACCGTTTCCATCCGCAAGACGAAACTTTCATACAACTTCCTAACTTTCCCATCGTTTTTTTACATAATACATTCTCTGGTACTATTTTTATTTCCAATATTCGTAGTTAGAGAATATCGGATATTTTTCATGATTTTCTTCATATCCGTCGTGAATTTTTAGATTGTCTGTTCGTTATAAATTCACGATTGAATTAATTTGATTTTTTTCCACAGTCATAGCTTTTATCAGAAATTTTTTTAACGAATTTTAAGATCATCTATTGTTGAAAGAATTTAATATTTTTCCAATTTATGCTTGAATTAATTGGGTTTCTCGGAAGCCAGACTAATTAATTCCAGTTTTTATCTGGATACGTGATTAATATTGCCTTTTCAAAGAAACGGATTATTTGCTTCCATAAGTTTATTTATTAGAAGAAAATGGTATAAATTCTCGAAAAATCGTAACACTAGATTCAATTTCCCTTATTTCCCAATTTATGGAGTTAATCGATGTGAATTCCGAACAGCTCGATTTGAATTTTGAAATGTTTTCGATGGTTTTCGAACTAATTAGTCACAAGTATCATCGCGAAAACATACGGAGAAACACCGCAATTGTAAATTGCCGGCGTTCCTAACTTGAAAAGAAATAGGAGAAATATTAAAAGCATTAAATTAAGGTTGCAATGTATACCGTGAAAGCTTTCCATTAAAGGATACTAAAATAAAGAATGAAGTTCTTTGCGTCAGATCCACTCGCGGCATCCCATGCTCTGACGCGTTTACAAGTTTTACGGCGTAGCGCCATGCGGATAAACACATTCCTCTCTAACAATATTATCTCACAAAACATTTTCACGTTCTATCTACGTAAAAGATACAAGTTCTACGATATTATATGACGAACTACAATAACTGGAAAAATATTCTATATTACGTAGTAACCCTCTGCATGCAAATCTTATTCACCACCAACTAGGCTTCCACAAACAAGCTCTTTGAGACGTCTCCAAAGAAAAATAGCCAAGATGTTTAAGTTCAAACAAGCTACAACGGAACTAAGTCAATTTTCTTCTATAATTTACTAAAAAAAAAAAAAAAAAATGGAAAACTACAGGGAAAATTTTATAAATTCCCACTCACATTTATCTTTGATCCTTAAATTTTTTGAGGTACGAATTTATTAAAATCGTTTTAAACTGCTAATTTTTTTTTTTATTGCGAATTGATTTTTTCCAATAACCATTTACGAACATACTTATTAATTTATCTGTATTAAATAAAAAATATACAACGAGATAGATTTTTTAAATGATTTTTTTCTAATTTCAGAGCATGTTAGTTACATAACATTTCATAAAGTTAACATTTCATAAAAAGACAGATGGAAACGCGTACAATTCCAAAGCAAAACTGCTCGTTTCACGGGAAGAAAACATTTTCACACACAAGGGGGATGACAATTGCGAATGAAAATTCTGTTGCATTTAATTGAAGATCGAACGGTAACACGATTCGCTAATCAGACTTTCCTTTAATCCTCGGGGCTTACGTCGAAATTCGGTTCAGCGTTTTAATTGTCTCGTTGTCGGTCAAAGCTCCGCACTGGAAAGCGGCTCGATAAATATTAATAAGAGCGTTTTGTAACCGGGGACCGCGGGGCTCGTAAAACTAAAATACACGGTCCGTAATGCGGGATCGCGTTCCTCTCTCGGAGTTTCACGCGATTGAATCGACCGTCGTGTCTGGAAGAACGTATCGAAGGATTGAATCGCGTTAACCTCTGAAAGGACGCCTTTTAAATTTCCTTTCTCCATTCACCGGTGACTTTTCTTCCCTACCGACTCTCAGTTTTCCAAACGAAAAAACGTTCCTACATACACTACGTTAATTCGTTATCAAAGGCACGACGGAACTAACCGCAGAAATATTTTCCCTCGAGCTTCTCTACCCGCCATTCCGCTCTCCAAATACGATCTTTCTCGAAATATAATTATTCCCAGCCGAATAATTATTATTACGCCATAAATGTTTGTGCAAATTCATGTTCTTATGAATGCAACTGAAATGAAATTTCTTCGTAGCTTAAATATTAGAACACGTATTTTGTTTCGAATATTTGGAGTATTTTTTTCACATTCTGTGTGTTCTAGAAATATGACTGTTCATGATGAATGAATGTTTTGTTTTAGACATTTTGGACATTTTCGCGTATTCCACTTTCGTATTTATTCGCTGCCTTCTCTGTCTGAAAACGAATTTGAATTTACCAACTTTTAATTCCGAAATTACAGAAGCGTCTGGTTAACAGATTAAATTTTCCATAAACGCATAAACGTTCTAATGATTGTTATAATCCCTCGTCAAATATTATCGTCATATATTCCATCGCATACACGATGACTCATTCTACTCTACACAAGCGTACAAAAAATACATATCAGCAACTTATATCATCTTGCTGCCAGCTGTCAGAGACAAAGTTCTCTCGTCTACGAGGAATTTCGACCACTCCTTAGGTATCATTAAATCCACGCCAGTAGAAGAAGCAAAAAGAGGAGGATCGTATAACCTTTACGACGTCCCTAGGAATCAAGGAAAACACGAGGGATGAACACAGCCAGAAAGAGACCGTAAGAAAAGGAGCGAATTCTAAGACGAAGAAGAACAGGCTAAATAAGTGAACGATGCGCTATCGCGAACGACGCAGACGATACGAGCGGTTAGACGACGTCCAGGAGTAAGCGTCGAGATTATAAGGAACGCATACAAACCACCCCAGCTTGCTCTCTTCTCTTGGCGACCACGTGGACAGAAGACAGAGAACATTCAACGAACAAGCACAGCTAGAGCTACCTTGTACAACAAGGACGTCTCGTAACTGTAACCAGCGAGGGGAAGAGAGAGAGAGAGAGAAAGAGAGAAAGGGAAAGATAGATAGAGAAATACCTGCAAGAAACAGTAAAAGAGTGAAAAGGAGGAATATAGAGGGGGTGGTAAACGAAGGCAGAGAGGAAAAGGCAAAAGGAAAGCAGGACGCAAAGCTGGCAATGAGTAAGGAGAAGGATCAAGAGAGAGATCTTTCGGTGAGTGGAAGGGAGAGCTAGATGATTGGCAAAGAGAAAGAGGATGAAGAAGGAAAAAGAGAAAAGGTAACATGAGCGATGCGCTATCGCAAAACCCTGGCAGCGAACGCGGCACGACGCCGGGGTCGGCGCTATCGATTGGCGTCGGCGTTTCCTCGACGTCGCTATTTGCCCGCCGCCGACGTTTCCTTTCTCTCTTCCTCCTACTCGCCACCCTCTTCCATTCTCCCTGTCTTGCTTCCTCGTACGTTCTCACCTCCGCTCCGTTCATCCTGCTTCACCACCCTCGAACCACCCTCCTTTTCGTCTCTGTTTACCCTCGCTTCTTCTTCTCTCTCGCTCTCATAACGCTTCCTATAACGGTGTCTCTCTCTGTTGCACAGAATCACCCTTCTGTTCGTCGAGCTTCTACTATCTCTATATACTTCTTCTCTATCTTCTCTATTTCACTACACATTAGACGATCCCATCTCTGTCCCGCCGGATGATTCCACCACCGGCTAGAAGCAACCACCCTTCGTTCTCTCGCCATCTACACCCCCTTGTGCAGCCTGCTAGTTGCATAGCTCTCTTCGTTGGTCCCTCGTTGCTCTCCGTACCCGCTCCTACCCTCCCCCCCCGTCCACGACTCTTTTCCATCCGACGCGGTAACAGGTGTTGCTCCGGCCCCGAACTCGTACAAAATCGATGGGCAAGAGCCACATCGGCGTCGCGGCGAGGGGTGGGTTACCCCTGCCGGTTCGCTCTCTTGCTCGGCTTCCTCGTTCCTCTGCTCGTTTCAACCCCTCGATCGCGGAGCCAGCCAGAGCTTTATATATACACGTATACGTATAATGCCTGGCGTGTGTGTTCGCGAGACGGTGTGGCAGTTCGTTGGAGATGGAACGGAGCAAAAGCGAAACGGAGAGACGACGAGCAGTACGCTGCTCACGCTTGACAGGGGATGGTTGATAAAGCGGAACAAGGAAAGAAATAACCAACGTATAGGATAAAGAAGGAGAAGCAGTTTGCGAGGGTGAAAGAGGTACTGGAGATGGTTTACGGAGCAGGACAGAAATAGGGGCAAAGTATGGAAGAAAAAAAGAGACAAAGCGTAAAGAGGGTGGAGGAGGACTGGGAAGACAGAGAGGGCAACACCGGGCAGGTTGTGTGCAGGCCTTTTAGGGAGGGAAGCGAGAAGGAGCTCTGCACGAAGCGAGGAGGAAAGGACGCAGGCGCCCAGGACGCGGGGCGACGCTGCTCGACGACGCTGCATTGGCAGTTGCACCCCAGCC